AACTGAGACTTATGTGCTCTTTGATTTCATTTAAGGGATGAAATATATTATGAAGGATAGGCAGACACTGGATTGTTTCTACAATGTTGCAATGGCTTAATTTTTTTTTAAAAAAGCAACCCACATACCATAAGTAGACAGTGGAGAACATTTAAAAGCTGTTAACCAAGAGGAAAAAAATATTTCTTATTCTGCATTCCTTATTAGAAACAAGTTCTTTGATTAACCAATACCTTATTTTGCTGATGTTTGCTTTTATGATGAATATAGTAATAGTGACTGCAAAGGTAAGAAGCAAATATGGACTGAGTGGACTACTAAGACTGAAAACCAAAGTATCTCACAGTAAAAAGTGGTCTGTAATTTCATCTGGAAATTATAGTATTTGCTTCACACCATGTTGGTTTCAATATTTCTGTCTCTTTTATGAATTAGAGTAATTTTATGAGAAGATCAATTGTGAATAACATGATTTATCAATTCACTAAGGAGGTAGATTTCAACATCCTAAAACAGAAGACTAAGAGTAGCAAGTATTTTAAAAGATGAGTATCCTAGCATTTATTTTTACTCCTCTCCTTGCTTTACCCAGCACAACTTTGTAAGGCATTCTTTCAGTCCAAGAAACTGAATCATGAGTCAAGCATCAGAAAAGGCAAGGCTTCATTTATGCAATATAAAATATATTAAGTGGCTATGCAGTTATGTTTTTAATCCCTTTCCTTCTTGTACCAGTGTGCGCATCATTTTAGTTTTGCTTCAATATATAAATGGAACCAATATTGAGAACTGAAACCAATTGTAACACCCCAGCAGCACTTATTGGTGAAAAAGCACTCCTGGTAATCACTGGAATCGCCTGTACAGGATGAGCAAGAACAGTAAATTCTGCCCAGCATCAAACATAGACTACTACCCTTACTTTTGTTTTCCTGTAGAAAATGCATTCAAGTGAACCATCCACATAAAGTTACCTGATGACAGGTAACCATAGAACTAAAAGTAAGTGCTTCTACAAAGGAAGTGTGGTCATTAGCACACATTGTTTCTTATCCTATAAATGTCTGGTTGAAACCAAAAATATATTGGTCTATTTCCCCTTTCCTTTTTTGTTTCACATGGTTTTCAATATGTGATCCTTCCTTTGCTCTGGGAAACATTTTCATGTTAATAACTATACAACGCTTTGAACATTTTGGATTACATCCATGCAAAGTAGCAACATAAAACAGCTATTACTAAGTATTCCTTTTAAAAGGTGCAAAGGTGAATCCCCTGAAGTAATTATTATGAAAGCTAATGTTTGAGAGAGTCTGCATGAAAATACACCTACTTTACTTACGTTGCTTTCAACATGAAAAAAGTCTGGTTTTGCACATGATTCTGCACCCACAAAATCATACACACAAAACAAACCCTGGAGCTGTCAAAATATTCATGTTGTGAACTGGAGGAGATCAAGGTAAGAATGACATACATACATTTAAAATCCCCAGCCAAAAATTAAAATAACACTATCATGCAAACATGCATGGGGAAAGCAAGGATATGTATTTTGTGCATTTTAAAATTCTTAAAAAGAAGAAAAAAGAAATTGCTGCTGTATTACTTAAAAATAGAAAGTATTGAGATTCCAGTCAAACTGAAATAGCCTTTGAAGCCCGTGGGAGCGGGGAGGGAGAATGTGTGCAACTAGAAACTTTCCTCTTAGCACAGCTCATCTGCTGGGGGTATATTTAGAGACTGGGACCCGGTCGGGAGTGTTGTTCTCATGCAAATCCCTGAACTCAAAAGTCTAGTACTTGGCTGTGCTGGGGCTTGCTGTTTCCCTCCTCATTGACCATCGATCGGAGATCCTGGGTCTTTAAAGCAAAAGCAGCCAAAATCCTGCCATGTGCCCCAGTTACCACTTTATGAACAGGGCTCCCCCAATCCCAGGGAAGGAGAGTTCCCCTCGCACGTTACAATCCCACCCTCTCCCAAACACACACACACACACACACACACTTTCTCAGGGAAACACCCTCCCCCTTCCCCACCACCGCGTTTCAAAACAAACCACGCCGGAGCCAAACTCGGCTGGGACTCACATAGAGGCAGAAGGGAAGGGTCCTTCCGAGGCCAGGTTCAGCACCAGGGAGTGGCAAAGTGTCAGACTCAGGAGCAGCCGCCAGCCAGCAGCCATCTTCCTGATCGAAGATCGATTCCCCCCAGTCACGGAGCCGGAACAAATAATTAAATGACTGGGGCTTGTTTTGCTTTTTAAAGCCCCCTCCCCCTCTCCCAGGAGCCGCCCAGCGCTGGGCGCAGCAGCTGGGAGGGGAGCTGGGGGTGGGGAGGCGAGCGATGGAGAGAGCCGGGGGGCGGGAGATCCAGCCGAGAGGGAGAGGCTCTGACTCTCCGCTACTCCAGCAGCGGCTCCGGCTCCCTGCGATCCGCCGCCATCAGGGCTACTTTGGGACCAGCTCTCCGCTCGCTCTGTGCCTGCGTGGGGCTGTCCGTGCCTGATTTATTCCCGATTGCGGAGGAGGGAGGAGGCGGCGGAGGCGGGGGCTGGTGGGGGGGGTGCGAAAGCAGGCAGAGGCTGGGCGATTTCTCCTCGGCTTCCCTGCCACGAGCCGCAGGAAGGGAGCTGGGGAAAGTCACCGCGGGGGCGGGTGGCAGAGGAGACTCGCCGAGCCCTATAGGGAGCCGCTTGCCATACAAGGCAGAGGAGGGACTCCCGGAGTCAGCCTCTGATCTCCCGCGCGAGGAGGGGGAGGCAGGGGGTGGTGCCTCGCCCCAGCCGGCGCGGAGCGGGCACATGCCAGAAAGCCGCTGCAGGCCGGCTGCGAACCGGCTCGGCTGCGCTCCGCGGCGCGCTGTGCGAGGGGTGGTGCGCATAGACCCTGGGGTTGGGCCGGGGCAGCCGCGCAGCCAGCGTGGAGCGCAGGGAGACTCCGGCTGCCCCCAAAGCCGCGCCTGGCTTCTCGCTAGCGGCACCCTGGCCATGTGAGGCTGGGATTCTGCATCTCCCGATTTCCCCCGGGCAACCCTCCCCCGCAGCCTGCTTTCAGAGAGCCAGGCAAGGGAAGACCTAGTCCTGGGCAAATCGTCCAGCGCTCAGCAGCTTCCCGTTCGCCTCCCCCTAGATACTGGCCTGAGGGGTTTGTTTGTTTGTTTGTTTGTTGCGAGTGCTCGGAATTCCCCAGCTCTTTTGTAAACCTCTTTCCCATTTTGGGTGTTAAGCAGCAACACCTGGCCCCTTGCGCCTGTTTCCTTCCTGGGACAGGCGGACCAGATTTTGTCAGGGCGGTCACCGCGTCTGCAGTCTTGTTGGAAACCGGTGGGTCCCAGAACAGCAGACACACAAGGTGGGGGAGGTGAAATCGTGTTTTGGGACCAACTTCTGTCGGCGAACGAGAGGAGCCTGCCTGCTAAAGAGAAACCAAGACCCGACGAAAAGCTTATTGGGAGCTCGAAAGCACCTTGCTCTCAGCCCACAGAAGTTGATCCAGTAGAAGATCTTAGCCCTTGCACCTGGCCTCACCACATTTTTAAGAAAGAGATCATCTCAGGGCCAAGGGTACAAACAACTGAGAGCTAGGGAGGGGCTTCATCCCTACTAAAAATTAAGGGTTTTATTAAAACATGAAAACACAATTTGGAACAGAAGCTTGTTTATTTTGCTGTATTACAAGTGGAGCAGTTTAATCATAATAAAATATTACACATTAAAGCAAGTTATTGTTTACTCTATTCTCCTCCTCCCCATCAAAAAGTTGTCTGTGCCCTTGTAGGAGCCAACATCACTTCCATTCACAATCATGCAGATCAGCCCCTCCCACAGCCCCCATGACCCAATTCATCATCAGTAATATCCCCATGGAAACGGCAACTGTTTTACAGGGTAAAGGAAGGGGGGATTTATTTCATGGATATTTAATAGAGTAGGTAGAGAAACAATGGCAACTATTTTGAGTTACTCCAACCTTAAAAAAATCAATCTAATACATCAGCTAGGGGAGGTGGAACCAGCAACATCTATCTTCAGTAATTAGATAAATGGCTCACATTACTCTAATATCAAAATGCCTCAGAATCTTTATTAGGCCCACTAGACCGTTGTGAATTTAGGCAGTGTTGTTATCTATATTTTATAGTTGGGAAACTGAGGCAAGGAGACTAAGCAGCTCACCTAGGGTCACTCAGGAAGTCTGTCTCAGAACAGGGAATTAAACACAGGTGCTCCAAATCACAGCCTTGTGCCTTAAGGACCAGACCAATCTTGTACCCCTGAGCTGCTAGCTCTCTGCATGACTGACAGCAAATACTCCACAGTCAGACCACACTTTTGAGAATCTCTGCCTTACAATGCATTTGTAGTGCAATTTGTCTTCTGTGTGTGACGTGCATCAGTAGGATACCTGAAAGTTATGTCCAGTCTCATATTAATTATTCTAATCTAATGCAGCTTCTGCCTTCCACCTACTCCCTGATTCTATTGAACAGTGTCACTATTAACTCAATGGATTTACTACACTCAAACATCCCCACCCCTGAGACTTCTCTTCTCTCTGCATAGAACTCCATTCTGCTTAGCAATGTGGGGAGAACAGGGTGGTCATAACTCCTCAGTCACAAAGACTGTTTCAGCACTGAAGTAAAACTCAGCCAGCATCTGTTTTGTTGTTTTATGGCATTTGGTGTTTTTCCTCAAGAACTCAACTCCTGGAGTCATATGACTATGTGAACATCTCAACTTCCACTTTTTAAAAAGGACATGTTTAGCCCTAATCATTGCAGAGAAAAGCTTAAAAACCATGACCTACAGCAGGCTCAGAGACTAAAAAAAGAAGGCGGGAAACCATCATAATTATTTTATCAAGCCAATCTCCTGATTTTGGGTGCCTGACTCATGATCTTTGAACATTTGGGGTTATAGCAGTACTGACATGAGAGAGACAAATAATAAGGCAAAAGGAGGAATGCTCGGGTAAACAGCAAAGCCAGAAGCATAAAGTGGCATAAGATTATTTTTTTTACATTATCATATTCTTAAGCTTTCTAATGCTGCATTTGTCATTGGTGCAGCTCATTAGGGCAATATCTGTAAAAATATTAATTAGAGTAACAGGAATACAAATAGCTTCCAAGATCAGGTCCCCATATAATAATATAGTTGGTTCTGTGTTTGTACAGGATCCAACACTAGTCTATGACTAAAGACTTAAGGTGCCACTGTAATATAAATACATAATAACAGTAGAAAAAAACCTGGAGAAAATACAAATAAAAATGTTATTGCTCTAATACAGAAATACCCCAAAGGCATTAATCAGTATCCAGACCATTATTCTAGGCCCTGTACAAACACATTGCAAGTAACTCACTATAAAGAGATTACAAGCTGAGGCTCTCTATTGCAATGAATTCCATACTGGCGAACAGGTCAGCATGAAGCTCACTGCAAGCTATCAGAGTGATGACCAGAATATGCCCTATTAGCTCCCTGGATATACACATATATCACCAAATACCCATTTCTTTCCTTTTACTGTTAAGGGGTTTGTTTGTTTTTTAATGGCTTGCCCAGGTAGAAATGGGGTAGAGATGGGAATGGCAGGGATAGAAAAGGTTAGCAAGAGTGAATCAAAAGGAGAAGTGAAGGAAAGAGGAGCATGATGTCTATTGACATCAGGTAGTGTGGGGAGAGGATCAGAGCAAAAATATTTGGGTGAAGTTCTTGGACTCCCTGCACAGTCAGGAGATGAACAGATGCCATTGGGCTGGAGCGGAGGCATAAAGGGATTTAGTATTTACCTTTCTATTTCAAAAGGGAAGAGAGGGGGGTGCCATTCCTGGATCAGGAGGTATTACTGCTCCCAGATTGTATGCCCCCCTCCGCAAGAGATGCAGAAGTCCATATGGAAAAGCAATGCATCTGTGACAGCTCTGGGGTGCTACTCTTGTTCCCAGACATTAACTCTTTGTTTTGTCATGCTCCTCCATATTAGAGAAAACCAGGAAGTATCTGCAGCTGGGAGCAACTCTGGAAAAATGGAACTACAGAAGTGAGCTCAGCTGTGTTGATCAGAAGACACAAGGCTATGCCTATTTCCCACTCTCCTGCTCCAGGGAGTGTAAACATGTATGCAGTACCATCTTACTCCTATGTTTCCAGGCCCAAGCCTGGAAAGTCCATGCAGGAGTACAATGCATGGGGCTAGTGCTCTGGATCACAATCTGGCTTCAAGGCTGGGTAAATCTGGCCAACCACCTTTGGCCATGTTTCTATTCAAAACTGATTCTAAACATGTACTCCATGATGAAATATATTGCAAGGTTAGATCTAGGTAGAACTGTGTACTGCATTCACAGAACACGGACAGCTCGGTGGGCTTGGGGTTTCATTACAAACTTGAGCCCCAAAACTGCAACAAGCTCCATGTAGGTAGATCACTCCACCCATTCATACCTTCAGTGAAGTCAGTGTGGTGTGGGATGCAGGGGTCTACTCACAGTAAGGATCAGAGCCTGTTTTCACCCGGATTGAGCCTGAAATTCTTGCAACGTGTACAACCATGGTTGGAGATGATTCCAGTGCAGGCAAAACCTGAAGTAGAGTCATGGTTTTGTTTCAAAACCAAGTGAAGCATGCAAATCCTTGCATGTTTCTGAATCTGCCAGTCAGGAGGCAAGAAGAAGGATAGTGAATATTAGGGAACTCTGAACAGTGAATTATCAATATATTCGCTACAATGCATATGGGGGAGGGGAATTAGCTATTTCTGATTTACACCATTGGAATCAAGAGGAGAATCAGGTTCTCTATATATTTCTGACAATATGCCTTATTCTGTCTATTTTATCTATCCAAAGCCAGACTGCAAAAAGATTGTACGCCCCACTCTGGAGGAGTGTGCCATCCCTGGCTCTTCTACAAGGTAGCAATAGGCTCTCTCATGCTGCAGGCTTTGAGAGAGTACCCTGTGTCAAGAGACAGTGTCACAGACTCAGCTGGTGTAAACTGGAGAAGCTCTGTAGCTTATTCTTGAATCAGTCTGGCAGCTGTTTGCTGGGTTGTCTAAACACATGCAGGAAAATATACAGATATCTACAGGCTACACTTGTAGAGCAAAAGTAAGTTATCAGAGATGAAGCACTAGCACATTTCTTCTTTTTCCATTAAGCCTCTGTGCAAGGAGCAGGACTGTGTCTAGCCTTGTGCTCCTATGCCCTAAAACAAAGTCCACTGAAATTAATGGGTGATGCCCATTGTCTTCAGTGGGGCTTTGGATCAGGCTCTTGGTGCATGAGGACCTCAGAAGACTGGCAATGACAGCAGTATTGGATGCCCACTTTTTCAACAAATCCCTTAACCCCATATTAAATACAGAGACTTGCCCTTATGGGTGGGATTTTGAAATGGAACTCAAAGTCACTTAGGTGCTTATGAAATTCTTAGACAAAGTTCAGACAAAGTTCATTTAATCAGAAAACTCACTATTGTTATTATTTGGTAAAAATATAAAGAAAGAAAACCTCTTCACGCAAAGAAACTCCTTGCAGACTCTGTGATCTGCTGAGCCAAAACCTATCAAATTTATTCCAGAAAAGGAGATACCTGAATGCACCTCTTC